CGAGAATAAATAGGATGTATTAACCGATTTTTTTTTCTAAGACCCTTCTAGTCTATTTCAAATTTGTCGTTGTTCCTTCCAGCGATGCAGTCCATCGTACAGCGCAATTTTTAGAGTAGCGTCGTTAATTTTTATGTCTTTTAAGAAAGAATCACCTCCAAAGCACCTTCCAAAATTTGTGATGGAAACCATATTACCTCAGTTACCTCAGTTAGTCACAGTATCCAGAGTAGAGTAGGTGTTGTTTTTGATAAAGTAGCAACATTGGAATTACTTTTGTTCCTTGCGCACTATCACATCACAAAAACTTCATAATTGTACCCTTTAAGTCCGCGCTCTTCCATGTGAGCCTAACTTGATGACTAAAAGACTATTTTGCAAAATTCATTCAATTTTTTGCAGTTATTCGGATTCGATGAACATGTTTTTCGAAATAAAGCCTATTGCATCTCTTGCTCGATAAGGATAGTAAGTTTTATCTTTTTGCTTCGTATTCGACGTTCTTTCCATTACGTCTTTTATTGAAATAAAGTTCCATAGTTGATGAATTTTTCTTCTCATGTAAACTGTCTCCCTGCAAGTATGTGCTTAGGAAAAGAACTGCTCTAATGCATTTTTGCGCTACGTTCGCTTTTGCTACCCTTTAATAAAAGTGCATCGAAAAATTCGTGATTTTTCTACGTTGCCCGTCTTGAGCCGAATTTCTACAGTTTCCTTGTCCACCGCATAACACTGAATCTCTCAAATTGCTCCTTCTTTTTCTATTTCTTATCAATTTCAAGTGTTATGTTCAATTTTTCGGTTCTGACTGCTTGTCATCTTTTTACTCTAATTTTTTCCTTTTTATAAAGTTGGGAATAATTCAGTTTCTCTTCAGGATGGAAGAAGATACATCAGTCTCTGAGCTGCTGCGCAAAAGAGAAGAATTGTTAAGATTATTACAAGAGGAAGATGAAGATGTTGATTATGAAGTTTCAGATGGTTAGTCTCTAAAATGCTAAAGTTTTTTGTTGTTGCGTTTACAACACTTATAGGAGAATCGGAGGAGGAAAATGATGGAAAAGAGGAGAAGGAGATGGAGAATAAATATGAGACAGATGAACCTCGCCCTCCTTCCGTCAAGCGTGCTCGACTGGATGATGCTGAAGAAGAGGTTTCAAACACATCTTTGCCAGGTCTCTTCTCATTTACTGCATAATTCTGTTATTGAAAATTATGAAAAGATAAGGATCAAATTGTTTTCATTAGTTTGCATTCTTTTTTTTTCAGAAAATCACTGGCAAAGCCAAAATGGTACCTGTCCGTTTAAAAATGCTTCCGCCTCAGTATCTACGGGTAATGAGTGAGTCGTGTTGAAATTCTGTACCGATCATTTAAGTATTACTGATGTCAGCTAAATGAATATGGCTTACCCAAAAAGTAATATATTAAGATCTGGATCATGCTCACAAAAAGCGGTGGAGGACGATCAAGAAATGCTTGATGATGGTATGTTATTTGGTTTTTTTTTTTTGATCAGCTGAAAACCACACTTCAGAAGACGGGGACGGAGAAGAATTGGATGTTCATGAAATTCTTGAAGAAGCCGTGGATAAAATAAAAAAGGAAGCTGCTGACGCGGATTCAGCTCGCATTGTGTAAGTGATTTTAATAAAATGCAGAAAGGTACTAAAGAGGTTGCTTATGTTGCATAACAATTATCACAAAGAAGGTGATGCACTTTTTTTCCAAACATTTTTCCGTGATCATTGAAGGTCCAACAGTGTGGGTTTTCGTCAAATAGTATTGATCTCCTTTCATGATCCTTCTGTATCTAGTCCGCCACTTACTAATTCGGACGGAAATAATGATGCCAGTTTTTGCACTAGATCTCACTTCGTGCTTCTTAGGGTATCTCCATACTTCCTAAGCATCGGCCGGCCTATGACGCTTATAGGTGCAATAATCGGCCGATACAGGATGCGCGGCGGTTGCGCTGCGGCTTCCTGCTGAACACCGATCTGGCGCAGTTCGGCTTTATCCCAGCCCTTCCGCACCTTTTTC